TCAGAGGCTACATCACAGGGTTGATCTCGTTCACTCTGGTTCTTTCAGCGACAGCCTTGGATCAATGCCAAGCTCGGACTTAACAAATACAGGAGAATCCCACATAATTATCTCAACAGCTTCTAAAAAGGCATTTGAGGAAATGCAATGCATCGTTTCTTATTAAAAATAGAAACACACACCAAAAAAGCTCAGTATAATAGGGAGGAAGGGTGGGAACTGCCTTAATTTCTCCAACTGCATCTGCTGGGATTCTGGAGCAAACCGGCATGCTTCAGGTGTGAAGGGTCACGGCCTTCTTCTATTCAAGTTTGGGACAAGCAGGGGTCTGCGGTCTCGCCCCCTTTACCCCTCGTCTGCAGAGTCTCGTGGATGCAGTGAGTCTTTTTTTTAAGTAGGAATTATAAACATTGAAAGAAAGCAACAGCTGTCACTAGAGGCAGCAGATAAGATGATTTACCTAGAAAACTAAGAGCAGTAAAAAAAGTCAGAACCATTAGAACTAATAAGAGGGTGCAGTGGCTGGATAAAAACAATAACAACAGCATTTTAAAACCAGTAGCTCCCTATATGCCAGCAATAACCAGTGAGGAAGTGTAACAGGGAAAATTTGTACTAGGAATAACTATAAAACATTTAAGGGATGAACTTAGCAAAAAAATGTGAAAATTAAAATGAAGAAAACCATGACTTAACTGCTAGAGATAAGAAAAAGACTAAAAAACAAAAAATAAAAATGGAGACTATATTTTGGATATATTCAATATTTTTAAGAGATCAATTGTGCCTAAATTATCCTGTGGCCTTTATACAATCTTCATTCAAAAATCCCAATAATAATTTTAAATGTAACTTGGTAAAATATATTCTGAAATTCACTAGAAGGATATAAAAGAAAATTTTCTGAAATGCACAGTGGTAGGAGGCTAGAACTTGCCCTGTCAACTATCAAACTGTACAGAGATGATTATATTAAGACATTTGGAAAGCCTTGGGTGCAGACCCTTGCCTATACTATACAGAAAGGTAAATTCCAGGTGACTCAAAGTTTTAAAAATATATTGGGGTGGCCAAAAAGTTTATTTGTTTTTTTCCATAAGACGGCTCTAGTAGTGCTTAGTTGTCTTTAACGACATTCAAAACAATTTCATCAGACTGTATTGTGATATCTGTCATATCAGCATGCATTAAAAAAAACCTTTTAAAATTGGTGAATTCTTATGCAGCTATTTTAACATTGAAAGTGGAAAAATGCACAACATTTTTGGTGTATTATGCTTTATTATTTCAAGAAAAGTAAAACTGCAACTGAAGTGCAAAAAAAGATCTGTGCAGTGTATGGAGAAGGTGCTGTGACTGGTCAAATGTGTCAAAAGTGGTTTGCAAAGCTTCATGTGGGAGATTTCTTGCTGGATGGTGCTACATGGTTGGGTAGACCAGTTGAAGCTCATAGCGATCAAATCGAGACATTAATTGAGAACAAGCAGTGTTATACCAGGTGGGAGATGGCCAACATACTCAAAATATCCAAATCAATAAAGCCATTGGTGGAAGTGAAAAATGTGTCTTTTATTTTACAGAAAAAACTAAATGGACTTTTTGGCCAACCCAATAAATCAGTTATATATGTATCAGAGAAAAGTGAGTAATACACATATATAGCCACACATGCATGTATACATATGTGTGTATGTAATATAATTTGGGGGTAGAGAAGGTGTTAAAATTAGAACCCATAAGAAGATTTCAAGATATTACTACATTTCAATATAAATCTTGCCAATAGTGAAAAACTATAAACCAAGTTAAAAAACAAACAACAGTCTGGGAAAAAATATTTTCTGTAGATAAACCAGATGGAAGGATTATATTCATAATCTATAAAGAGTTCTTACAAATGAATAAGCAACAAAATCTCTCCAGAAAAGCGGGGGAGCAAGAAATATGAAGCAGCAGTACACAGGGGAAGAAACAAACAAATACCCAATAAGCACGTGAGACATTCAGTCTCACTAGTAACAAGCAAAGTGCAAATTGAAACAGTAGTGATATTTGTGTACATCCTTTGGAAACATTTTAAAAATTAATATTTAATTTTGGGAAAATGCAGTTTCATAAATGTTGGTGCAAGTGTGAATAAGTATGACAGTTTAGCAGTGTATTTAGAACTATAAAACATATATGCCTTTTGCATGAGAAGTTTCACTTCTTGAAATCTTTTCTACAAAAGTGCTCACATACTAAAAATCTGTCCGTTGGAGAATGATAGGTAAATACTACTAAACCCTTAAAAAGAACTAAGTAGTTCTATGTATGCTAACATGGGAGATTGCATGTGGCATATTGAAAAAGGTAAGACATATGGGTGGCTAAATCATGCGTGTGTAAAAGCCAGGGTTTAAAAGCTTCTCACCAGACGTCAAGGGTGATCACCTCCCCGAAGAGCAGCAAGACGGACTGGGGGCAGGGGAGAGGATGACCTGGTGACACACTTCTGCATCTGTTAAAACTTTGCAATGAACAGCTTTGGTATTTTTTTAAAATTGTGCAATGATGCATTTTTAAATGGAAAATTCATACAATTTTACAAATCCTCAGAAGATAAGACAGAACAGTGAAGACCCTACTCCCGTCACCCAGTGACACTTGACACTTTGTAATAAAGGGGGGGAAATCAGCCCGACACAGGTAACTCAGTAGGAAACGTGGACACCCAGCATGACCGAGAGGAGTGCTGGGGCCAAGCAGAGCCTGGCCATGGTCCTGGCATTTTTGCTGCTTGCTGTTCGACCTTGGGGAAGCCGTTGACCTCATCTGGGGTCAGGTTAGGTTTTCTCCATTCTGCACGTAGGGCTGACCTACTAACATTGGACAAAAGGGCTGGAGAGAAAGAATGTCGAGGAAGGTCCGGCCTAAGTGGGAAGTATAATTGTTAGAATGTCCATGAGTGAATGTCAGAGCCCTGCCTCTCAAAGGGCCGCCGTTAGATGAGGAACCCTCTCTGTAGAAGCTGAGCTCTGAGGTAGGCAAGGAGGGCCGGGTGGGGAGGGGGTAAAATAGAAGAACCACCAGAGCCCCTGGTGTCTGGTAGAGGAGGACGTGTGTGTGTGTGTGTGTGTGTGTGTGTGTGTGTGTGTGTGTGACGGTTAAATTTATAAAGCAATGAAGGGTGACATTTTAATATTTTTTATATAGCATAACAAACAGAGTACCGAAGTTCTAGGGAGGAAGCTGAAGTAACTTGGAGCCATTAGATTTTGGAAATATTAATTAAGAGATGCTTCCTGAGGGTAAGGGAAGCGGGCACTTGCCTGTGTGTGTGTGTGTGTGTGTGTGTGTGTGCGCACGTGTGCATGTGTTATGGGGGCCGGGTGGATTGGAGGTAGGAGAGATGGGGCACTGGGTAGCTTTGTTATTAAGTTCGAAGAGAATTTCTAAAGGGAAAATGAAATCTCTGTTTGACTCAAGTATGGTTCATTTTCTGAGGCAGTGTCAAGAGGCAGAAGATCAAATCCAGTTTGACACCATCAGGTACGGAATGCAGCAGTCTCTGAGCTGGAGCTGAGCTGCCGCTTGGCTAATGAGAAATCTCTGTCCTCTGCCAGTGGCTTGGGGGCCCATCTCTTCCTCTTTGGCACTCGAGAGACAAAGAGCTCAAGCAGAATGGGGACCTAAAAGGTCATCAGCACATTCATTTTGCAAGCTCCCCACCAGGCCTTCCCAGAAAACGGACGCACTAGGTTTCCCAGATTAGCTAGAATGCCCGCCAGCGGCTTCGTGCTGCAGCCGGGGGTAGGTTTTAATGACCCCTGCAGGGCACACCCACTGCCCAGCAGTGGGCAGTGAAGAGGAGGAGGAGATGGGCCAAACGGAGCTGAGCCGTGCCCACACATTCGTCCTCTGGGCGTGAAAGGAACAATCAAAAAGTTCAGGTGAAACTTGAGGTTGAGATTCAGAGCTCTCCACATACACTGTGCGGTCTGTCACTGAGTTCACTGTGACCGGCATGACAAAATTGCAAAACTCAGTAAACCTGCTGTTCCGTGGACGTTTGTGCATTTCTGTGGTTTCACCTGCGAACCTTCAGGTGGCACTGAGATCGTCTCCATTATGCCCTTCCCAGTTTGTTACATATTTCTGGGGCCTCTCCCCTTGTCGCTGTCCCCACTGCCGGTCTGCAGGTGTGCACGGGCTGTCCCAGCAGCCTCGGGGCTGGTCTCCCACACCCAGTCTTGCCCCCTTTGGTCCGTTGCTCACGCCGCCCGTGTCTTCTCTCCAGCCCTCAGCTCTGCTGGTCACTCCGGTGCTCAGAGTCCTTCACCAGCGTCAACACAGGGCCTTGTGTGACACCCACCGCCCACCTTCCTCAACGCATTTCTTGCACCAACATCTCGCCTCCTCCTCCACCCCCACCTTGTGCTCCAGCCACTGAGACTGCTTGTGGTTCCTGAGACAGGCAGCCTCCTGTCGTGTACTTGTACCTGCACTACCCTTTGTCTCAAGATGCAGCTACACTGAACATCCCCTCTAGGAAATGTTCCCTAGCCTGCCCTGTGTTTCGTCCTTCTCCCCGCACTCTGGAAGCACTGATGTTCACGTCCACCCGGGCACCCGCACTGTATCCTCACTGGCTAGTTACTGGTCTGATTTCCTGACTTTCCTGGAAAACACCTTGAAGGTAACAGTCCTGTATTTCTACCCACTGCCCCTTGCACAGTGCGCAGCAGACAGCTGCTGCTCCGGGAATGTGTTACAGAAAAGAATGAGCCCACATAGGTTTAAATTTAGTTTGCGACTACGTGCTTGTGGGTCTTGGTTGTGCCTGATCAGAGGAACGTCGTACTCAGCCTGCTGTGTTCTCAGGAGCTGGGCGAGGATGAAGAAGGTAAATGACGTGAGGGCCAGATATAAGTAAGGGTAAGACTCCCACCACTCAGCTGGGAGCACCACCAAGTCGCTCGCTAGGCTGCTGATGAATTCCCACTCCCGTGTTGTTCCAGGTCAGCTGTTGCCAGCGAACCGCAACACGCCGAGCCCCATCGACCCCGACACCATCCAGGTCCCGGTGGGCTACGAGCCGGACCCGGCAGATCTCGCCCTCTCCAGCATCCCCGGGCAGGAGATGTTCGACCCTCGCAAACGCAAGTTCTCTGAGGAAGAACTGAAGCCGCAGCCCATGATTAAGAAAGCTCGCAAAGTCTTCATCCCCGATGACCTGAAGGTAAATTGGAACCGGTAATCAGGCCCTGGGCACACGGAGAGTGGGGGGACCAAGCGGCACATGACAAGGGTGACCCCAGGAAGATCCCTCAAGCTAATGAACAAAAGGACTCTGGATTTCTGGTCCTACTTCTTGGCAAGTTGCTTCCTCTGTGCGTGTCTTCTGAAACAGGCCTTTCCTGTCTTGGTAATGCACCGAAGCAAGGAGAAGCGATTCAGTGTAGGAGTGGTTTGCAGCCCGTGAAGGAGGCAAACTCCCTTTCAAGTTTGGGAAGAGAAAGAAAATTATTTGGGAAGGGCATGTTAATCTCCTAGTCTTCCAAGGGAAATTCCCTTTGGGAATTTATTGATACTTAATTGCTGCCATTTCCCTCAGGAGTAAAGCTGGACACAGGCCCTGTCTCCACATTGCCAACCTGGATGACCAGGGTGGGTTCCCAGACACTATTGATACGTAATGCCCCCTCTGTACCTCAAATGATGGTCGCCTGAATATCCCAACCAAAGGTTAATTCCAGGCTGGTTTTCTCTGCGGTGTTAAAAAGACACATTATTTATAAAGGAAAATAGATTTATTTTAGGAAGTCAAATGCAACTTAAAATTACTCTGACACATTTAATGAAGGGAGTCATGTCCAACATGATGCCATGTCCACTAACGTTAAATTAGAACCACTTTCGATGAGCCATTGCTTACACTTTTCTGTTTATGCTTCTTTTCAAGCATAGAGACAATAAAGGTAGGATATGCACATTCAAGGAATGGGAACCAGGCATGGTTAGCCCCTCCCTCCTTGCTGACCCCATTTCTTAGGACTAAGTGTGTTTCAGAAGGAACATGGCTCCTAGGCTGGGGAGACGGTGTGTGGGGCGTTGTCCTGGCACTGAGTTAGACTAGTCCCCTCTGCTTCTCCCGTCCGGAAAGAACACTGGGAGGTTTGGGGGAGGGGTGGGGGGAGAAGTGCCTAGCAGACTTGAATCACTGCTGTTGTCTGTATACCTGACATTACCTTTAGTGACCCAGAACCATCCTGTGTCAGGGCTGAAAGGGACCTCAGAGATTCATTAGACCAAGTTACCGTTTTGCAGCTGAAGAATCGGAGAAGCAGAAAGGTGAAATAAGGAGAACACTGCCAACTGCTAGGTACAGTAAGACCTAGCCCTGTCCCCAAGTCTTCTAGCTTCCAGAATGGTCACTACAGCGGGGGCTCTTGTCTGACAGCAACAGCTGCCCCCCTGAGACTCATGAGAGGCAAGCGCATAGTAAAACAGCAGAAAATCTAAACCAGCCAGGGAATCGATGGTTAGCCTCCAGCGGGGTGGGCAGGGGGCACCGTAGGTTTAGGCTCCAGGAGATTACTTGTCTTCTTTCATTTGGATGGGTTTTCTCATCTTGTGCTCCGGGCCATCCAGTCCTGTCATACGTTAGAGCCCATCCCTTACACCAACCCGGGGAGTGCATGCAGCATGGATTGCCTTTGGGATGGAGGGTAGTTTGAAAGGAGGCTGCTGAGTAATAGATGTAACTTCCAGCCAGACCTCCACAGGGTCTCCAGATTTCCAAGTTCAAAGCCAAGAGCAAGCTTCATAACCCAGACAACCTTGGCGGCAGAGAGACCGCATGAGTCTTACTGGGATTATGCTTGTCACTACTGTCATGGCTTACCTTTGCACGCTGCTTTTTCTCCTGCCCTGTGTCCTTGGGTGTCTTCATTTGCGAGTGAAGCCTCAGGCCCCAGACCATGAACCTGTGCAAAGCCAGAAGCAGAGCTGTAACGTATTTCTCCGTCTGGCAGAGAGCGCTGAGCCGGGTGGTGGGGAGGTGTCTGAGGCCCCCAGCCTTGCGTGAGCAAACCTGCTGAGTGCAACGGGCTTCCCCACAGCTGCCTGCACTTCCGCCCTTGAGCCATTCCTTGGGGCCATGCACCCCTGCAAGAGCTAGGGGGTGACATATGGGATTCCTAGCTGACACTCAGTTTAATTACTTCGATGTCCTAACACTTTTCAACTCCCTTGAAAAATACTTTTTAAATGCCAGTGTGTGCCAAGCCCTGTATGGGGGGCTGGGGATTCCAAGGTGAGCCAGTTGTTTCTTACCCTCAGGGACCTGCTAGTGTGGTGAGAAAAAGGGATGCTGTCCTGCTAGGAGAGGGCTGGTGGGGCAGGGGGAAGCATCCCACACGAGACCCTCGGGAAGATGGTGGGACAGGACTGAGGGGGTCCCTGCTGGGTGGGGGTCACTGGACAACCAGGTGGCATCTGCACCTAGGAGGTGGAGGAGAGGGGACAGGGGACGTAGGGCCACGCTTGTCAGTCCCCCTCAGAGGCCTGTTTTCCCCTCCCCCGACTGTTCTGCGCTACAAAGGGCAGCGACCCCGGTGTTCCAGGCCAGGACAGTCCTTCCATCACTCCTGCCCTCTGCGTCCTCCGCCCTCTCCTGTTCCCACCTCCCCATCCCTCACCTTTTATAGCTCGGCTGCACGTGTCCACAGGTGAGGCAGGGAGACGTAACACCTCAGAGGTGAGAAGAGCTCTGGGAGACAGAGTCGGTTGTTCCTCTGTGGTCAGCTGGTGACCCCTTAGCCCCTAAGGCCTGGTCACAAACCACCAAGTTCATGGCCTGCACCCCGTCTGTCCGCCCACCACATGCAGAGCTTCTGCAGTTTTCCAGGGGCTTGTGCCCGGTCTTCATCACCACCCAAGCTCCCGTTCCCCTGGGTACAGGTTCTGATACACCCTCAGTCAGCCGCTCTGTCCAATGGTCTCGGGAGCCGCCCTCCCAGGGGCATTGAGGGCTATGGCGGGCTAACTGACAGAGTGAGGCAGACCATGTCCATCAGAGCTGCAGGCTTCCCTTGGGCCCACTCACCCCTGGGAAGCCTTTCCCTCCCCCGAGCCCCTCCCAGCCTCTCATCGGCCCTGCGGCCTCTCCCCTTCCTCCAGCCTCTCCCCCCCACACCCCGCTGCCCGCTGTTCCCTTTTGGAGGCACAAATAACACCCCACCAACAGCCATGGAGCACCTGCCCCCAGCTTACTCCTCTCTGAGAACAGTTCTGGTATCAGCTATTGTGAAGATTGTTCTTTTTCTCTTTGTTACATATTATTATGAAACATATAAAAAGTGCTTTGTAAATAAGATCAGAGTCCCAGCTTGTGAACGGCAGACAGAAGGTGCCCGCACACGCTTGCTGTCTCTGTGCAGGGCGCATGTCTGCCGGGGGCAGTGGGCAGTATGGGGGTGGACCACTGACCTTGGACCTGGCTTGCAGCCGTGGCCCTAACCCACGTGACCTCCTCCAGTGCCAACTGCCCCTTGGAATGCTGGGGGAGGGTGAGAGCTGGCCCTGTTCTGGGTGGCATGTAACTGCAGGTATTAGGCTTGCTAGGACCCAGGGATCTGCTCTTGCAGATCGTCGAAAACAAGGTGGGGTGGGTGGCAAAATTCGCCAGGTGGCCCCATACACCAGTTAGGAAGGTCCGAAAGATGGTTGGCATTTCCTCGTCTGCCCAGGCCCGGTTTCCTTTCCTCTGGCAGGGAGAGCAGTGGTGGGGGAGGAGGAAAAAGGATTGCCTTCTCGTTGACCACAGTTAAACATTACTCAGACTAGTTAAGGCCTAGAGAACAGTTACACAGGAAATTAGACTACATTCTTTGAATGCTAGCCACCAATATGAGTGTACTGATCAGTGGCAGGTGGAAGTTTATTTTTTAAATTTCTGTTTTTAATCACCAAAGTGTAACTGCCCATTTTATAATATTCTCATAGTTAAGAAGGGTATAAAATACAAAGTTAAGGATGCTATCTTTGTCCTCGGCCTCCTTCCTTGACTCCCCCTGAGAAAGGCCAATTTGATGATAGCTTGGCACAAATCCTTCTGGGCCACTCTCTATGAATATGTAATTTTACAACTCTTTAACCAGAGTGGTATGAGGCCACACATATTTACCTGCAGGTTACCATTGTCCCCATCCCCGTGGTGGTGTATCATGAACATCTTTCTGGTTCCATGGGATCGTTGTTTTATTTTGACAGCTGCATAGTATTCTCCATCACAAGGTAGTTACTAAATCTCTTACGGATAATTGTGTTTCTAATTTTTTTTTAAATTACTTTTCTTTAATCCTCATGCAAGGATGTTTATCGATTTGAGGGAGAAGCAGGGGCGTGGGGGGTGAGAAAGACAGAGAAACAGTGATGTAAGAGAGAAACATCTATCGTTTGCCTCCTGTACACACCCCAACCAGGGATGAACCTGCAACCTTTTAGAGTACGGACAGTGCTCCAACCAACAGAGCCACCCAGTCAGGACAGGTTTCTTCCCCATATTGTATTGCAAACAGTGCTGCAGTCAAAATGTTGTGCCCGCGTCTGCGCATGCTCGTGAAGACTGCCTAGGATGGGATCTGAGAAGGGGCGTTGCTGGAGCAGCAGTGTGTGCCTTCAAATAGTGGATAGATATGGACGAGTTGCCCTCCAACAGTATTGTGTCAGCTTATATCAAAAAGCACGTGAGTGCCCATGAAGACTAGGGTTCATAAAATAAAATTTTCAGCAGGACGAGTAGAGAAATCTGGAATGCAAGCTAAGGTGTGCGGTGAGTCACTTGCTTTCGTCAGCCTCTGGTCGCTCCTCATAGGGCACATACTCTGCTGGGCAAAGAGAGCAGGGGCGCGCTGCGACAGGTTGGTCCTTGCTCCAGAAGGAAGCCATGGCCCAGGGACGCTCCTCTCAGCTGGGCAGAGACGGTCAGGGAAGGCGACACACATTAAGACACCTGGGCTGCTGCCTCCGCGCAGCGCCCCGGCTGCCACTCAGCTCTGCCGAAATCTAATATCTTGTTTCTTGTTCCTTCTGTAACTAACGAGCAGGATGACAAGTACTGGGCGAGGCGCAGAAAGAACAACATGGCAGCCAAGCGCTCCCGCGACGCTCGGCGGCTGAAGGAGAATCAGATCGCCATCCGAGCTTCGTTCCTGGAGAAGGAGAACTCGGCCCTCCGCCAGGAGGTGGCTGACTTGCGCAAGGAGCTGGGCAAGTGCAAGAACATTCTGGCCAAGTACGAGGCCAGGCACGGGCCCCTGTAAGATGGCGCACGGAGCGGGGCTGGCTTCTGATCAGAGGGACACTCCGTCTCCTGTCTGATCAGCGCCACACCCGAGCCCGCCTGCCCGCCGTCAGCACTTTACCAGAGGCAGCGATCCACACGACTGACTCACGTCGTGGTGTGCGTGTGCGCGCGCGCATGTGCTTGTGCTCATGTGTGTGGTCACCCGTGTGCGCGCACGCGTGCGTTCCTTTGCACTTGCCATTTCCAGATAACCCTCTCATCCTCTCTTAGCTCCAAAAAAAAAAAAGGTGCCATGTTTTTACTGGACTGTGGAGACCTCTCCTGGGGTTTCCTGCCCTCCCCCCGACCCCCACTTGCCCTTCCCACGTGGCTTCATGTTCGCTCCTCCCTGCTCTTCCGGGGCCCTGCGTGTGGATCCGCCGCAAAGGGCCCTGGGAAAACGGTAGCTCTCAGTTTTCAAGACGACAAGCCCTTGTTTCTGTTCAGCCCGTAAGCCGCCGAGCTAGCGCAGTGCACAAAACAAGCGGGCGCCGCCCCGCAGCGCGAGTCAGTCCTAGGTTGCTTTCCTCACGTCTTCGGTTTGGGTGGTAATCGTCTTCAAGTTAAAAGTGCTGTTTAGATTTGTTAGGTCCCGTATTTACTTACCGCTATCTACTAAGTTTCCTTTTAATTCTACTGACTCCAGTTAAGTCAGAGTACTATTATAGAACACAGAGTGTGTTTCTGCACTGTCCGTACCTGAAGCAATAATCCTATTGTACGCTAGAGCATGCTGCCTGAGTATTACTAGTGGACGTAGGATATCCTTCCTCCCTAAGAATTCCACCCTCTCTTAAAAAACAGAAATCACAGTAATGCATTTGAGCATGCCCAGAACATTCCCGGGACAGGGAAGCTGAGAGAATGCCAGGTGTAAGAAGGAGGGGTCGATTTATCAGCACAGGAGCCAAAAACAAAACAAAACAAAAGAAAAAAACGCGTCTTGGAACAGGTCTGACATGGAGATGTTTGGTTCTGTTCTCTCCCTTCTCCCGCACCCACCCCCACTTTTATAGCTAACGTTTTCCATAGCCCTCTTGATATTCAAAACAGTTACTTAAGATTCAGTTTTCCCCCATTTTTTGTAATATATATATTTTTGTGACTTATTATACCTTGCTGTTTTTAAAAATCAGTTAAGTTAATGAGTTGGTGTTTTGTACGACCCCTTTTCCCAGTGGTGTTATTTTTGACTGCTTCATAAATTAATGACTCTGGAGCTTTTGTTTCTTCCCTCTGTTTGCTTTTGAACGTATGTGCTTTTATAAAGTGGACTTTCTGAAACATGAATGTAAAAGACACTGGTGTATCTCAGAAGGGGATGGTGTTGTCGCCAACTGTGGTTATTAACCCAATCAGTTCCAATGTTTACTATAGACCCAAAGGAGAGGTTATTAAATTGTTTAATGTTTATACAGAGTAATTATAGGAAGTTCTTTTTTTGTACAGTATTTTTCAGATATAAATACTGACGATGTATTTTGGAAGACATATATTATATATAGCAAAGAGAAAAGGATAACTATTCCATGTTTTGAAGCTATATAGCAAAGATATATATTCATCGATGTTGTGCAGAGAAGAAGGGCCTGGAGGGTTTGAAGTCTTCGCCGTTTTAAGCCTGTTGCTGACACATCAGCGTGTTGTCTGCTTTCAAGTTTGGTGGCCGTGCGAGGCTTGCTGGGACGAATCCTGCTCTCAAGTACATGAGATTTCTTGTTTCTCATTAGGTCTCAGAAAGAAGTCAGTTACTGTCACTGAAAAGCACAAAATAGATGTTAGTCAAATATTTATTGGATGATGCAGTGTTTCTCAGGAGAAGCATCTGCCACAAAAATGTTCACTACAAAATTACGGCTTCACCGCAACCACCCCAGGCAGGTCTGTCCCTCCCCCTCCCGCCCCCCGCCCCCCGCCCCCACTGTGGGCACGCGCATTTTCGGCTGCGTGCGGCAGATATCGGTGCTATGTGTGTGGCTTAAAATTTGATGGATGTTTTGACTTTAAAGACGGTTCTTTTGTTTCACTAAGCTGTGTAATGTCAAGAGATTCTGCTGTTATTGCCAAGAAACATTCTGTGCTAGATTAAAATGCCCTTTCGTCCATGGGATTTTCTAGTGTCCTGCCTCCAGAATATACCCAGTTCTGTAGTGACCTGGTGGGCTCCCTGCCAGCCCCTCAGCAGTTCTCTCGGGATGTCACAGTCTTGGGGTGTCACAGTCTTGGGACACTTGACTAGCAGGGTTTCCTGCTAGGTGTCCATTTCTTCTTCCCCAGCTACCCTCTCCAGCGGGAGTGGGGAGCACGAGAACTGAAACGCGCTGCTCAGGTAAATAACTAGCACAGGAAACAGAGGAGACCTCTGGCAATCTCAGGCAGAACTGGGTAGGCAATGTTCAGTGCGAGACAGTGAGCTCAGAACTGGCCTTTTTATTGGTAAAGAGGCTAATTGCCGCACCATTGTTAAATGTCATTGTTCTCTCTGTGATGTAGTTAACTGCAGCTGTGTTGAAGGGATTGTACCCTGGACCACCCAAATCCATTGATGTATAAAATGGCAGCCAAAAAAAAAATGCCCCCCAAAACCAAAAACCCTGTATTTGAGCCCTGGTCTTTCTTGGAATTAGATTGTTTGTATCCAATGAGCATCGCACATGTCTTCTGCAGAAAAAAAAAAATTAAAAAGATCATAATAAAACATATTCTTTCATGTGCCAGGAAAGGTTTCAGAAACCTACCTCGTCTTAAAACTTTGTAAACTGCGGAGTCTGTCCAGGTGCCTTACATGTAGGTCCTTGTCAACACACACACGAGCACTCACTCCTCGACTCACTGCCTTCTGGCCAGGGCAGTTAGCTGGCAAATGAGGCAGCTCTGCCCCAGGGCGTGGGGGGCCACAGCCCGCTCCGGGGTCCCTGGGACCAGCCAGAGTCCGACGAACTCTGCAGACTGCAGCTGTTACAAGAGTCCTGTTGCCATTTTTCACCTTTTCATCAAAAGCGTCTTTCAGAGATTAATCACTCAGCCATTAAAAATGAAACCAAATCATATCACACCAACGTCATTGCGACACAATTTGGAATGAGGGGTCCAGGACTTCCTGACGAGGTCACACCATCGTTTCTTTTGACGAGACGTGCAAAGAAAGGCAAAGCTCGACCACCCTATCCCGCTCAGGCTGCCTTGTGGGTAGGGAGGGAATGAATGGGAGGGCTGAACGTGCTGTTTCCTTCTCTTAAGGAAGCGGCTGCCTTTTGACACCCCACAGAGGGCAAGATGTGATAGGTCTTTCCTCTGCACGTGTGACAGGCACCCACAAACCGTCCCTTAAAGCTGAAGAGCCCTTCGTTGGGGGCTCTTTGCAGATGCCGCGTTGGCTGGGTAGGAAGCTGTACTAGGAACCCAGAGCTTTTTTCCCACTCACTCATCTTGGGAGCTCGGAATAATTCTGAATAGACGTTTGAAAGGTCTTGGGTCTACTTCTGGAAGAATTTTCAGAGGATCCCTCCCCCACGGCCCCAGGGTAAAACAGCAGGCGTCTGTAAAGTGCAACCTGGTACTTATGTTTTTCAGTAGTTTATCTAATGTTCCCCTAGTGTTCCTTTTAGGAATGCTCAAACTGTATTGGAGCTCATCAGAGTGGGCCCAGGGCAGGCCCGCTTGGCCCGCTCGCTTGCTTGTGTGGGGGTTGGGCGGGCCTCCATCTGACCCGGGGTCCAAAGGTTGCAGGGGGCTGGACGCTGGGCTCCCTGCCTCCCTTGAGGCAGACGCCCACTCTTTGCCTGCCAGCTCCCTGCTGAGGGCGCCCGGGCGCCGCTGGGGAGCCCAGGGTCTCCCACAGATTTTCTCAGCAGTTAATAACGCCATTTCAAAAAAGAGCAAACCTTTGCCCACATTGTGACGGCTTGACCTTGGCCTCTGAAGTCAGTCCGTTTCGCAGAGGTCCAGATGTAGGTGGGGGCGAGCGTGTGTGTGAGGAGTTAAGACATAAAGATCCTTTGTTTTGGAGCACCTTACCAAATAGAACAGTAATTTACCATGATCTTTTTGGCAACACCACAAAGACTGTGTTTGCTAACCAGGTAAAAGTTCACATGAGGTCAGTTTAATTGTATATCATGATATTGGTGGTGTTTATGCTGTTAAATGCAAACCTTTCTCTGTCTGTTATTCTTAATGTTTAATAAACTTTGAATTTTTTTCCTTTCTTTCATGTATTTTTGTTGATAGTCTGCTAGAAATTAGATTCTGTCCCCACTTCTATCACGAAGAGACCATTTACAGAGATTAATTTCATAGATGATACATTAATTCTATATAATTAGTGATAAATAAACATCTACTGAATATTTATGTGCCAGACACTGTACTAAACACCTACATGGAATAATATTTCATTTAATCCCATATCAACCCTAGGAGGCGGGGGCAAATTCCCATTTTATAGAAGACGAAAGAGAAAGCTCGGGGCGTCAGAGAGCTTACCTGAGGATGCGTAGGTAGAAGTGACAGAAATGACTTCCTATCCATTGAATAGGTATCATTCAGAGTCGTGATTCCCCAAAACCACACAAAGACTATTTTCTGGTTGAATGTGTAAAAGTCATGCAGGTACGCACTCCAGGGCTCTGGACACAGTGATGTTGAATGGATCAACTGTGTGGCCACACAGTAGATCCAGGATGGGAACCAGAAATCATTGTTGAAAGGTTCAGCTAACCCCCATGTGTGGCCAAGAACTTGGAGCCAAGGATTCACAGACTCAGCTTTCATTTGAGTTCACGACCCTTTGGTGGAATCCACATAGAAGCTCCAAAACTTCCAGAATTATCGGAAATTGTATGCAATTTTCATGCACAACCAAACTTACTGTTTTTGGTAGACAATATCCATAGCTTCCTCCCTGCCCCAAGGCATCCGTGGTGCCAGGTGGGATGAAACCCCTGACCTGTAGGAAGGCTGGTATCACACCGTGGTTCCCAGCCCTGGCAGCCGCACACAACGGCCTGGGCTGCTGGAAACACCGGCCCTGCCTGGGCTGCAGCCGCAGCCAAGGAGCTCAGCATCTCTGGCATGAGAGACGGGGGCTCTGTGGTGCAGCGCTCAATGATTCAGATCTGTCACTCAGCAGGTATGCGACCTTGAGCAGCTACAGAGCATTTTTGAACCTAACGCTGCTCATCTGCGAGATGAAGTTGTCACTTCCACCTTGGAGGGCGGTGGGGAGAAATGCCAACCTCACACACGCACAGCTGCCGGCCCAGCCCAAGTCCTCGATAAATGACCTCCGAGGGAGCCCGGAGGGAAATGTGTGTGCCCTTGAGCACTTTTTCCCATCCAACAGCTCAGGCCATTTGTTGCTTCAGAGAGGACACAAAACAAGTCTCCTGCTCAGAAGAGGGAGCAGGTGGCTGGTGGCGTGGGAATGAGTGATGCCCGAACCTCAAGGTCGTTCCCGCCCTGACCTCACTCACAGAGCAAGGTTTGCACGTGGCTCGGTGAGCGTCCATCCACTGGAGAGCAGGTACAAGTGAGGGTTCCTCATCACCTCTCCTCGCTCAGAAGAATAGCCACAACCGTAACTGAAGATCCTCTCAGGGCGACTGATCTTATGTTTGGCATCTTAGGATCTCTTAGAGGAAGCAACTGCCTGGAGAGACTTTGGACTCCAAGGTGGCAGGAACCGATACAAGGCCAAACTGTGTCGATGCCGAGTGGCTCACAAGCCATCGGTCCCCGGGGCCCATCACATGCTGCCCTTGTGGGGTGGCTCTTCTGCTTATATTTAAATTAAAAAAAATCTGTTTATTGATTTAGAGAAAGAAGAGAAGGGAGAGAAAGAAAGAGGGAAACATCTATTTTTGTTCCCCTTATTTGTGCACTCATTGGTTAATTCCTGAACGTGCCCTGACCGGGGATCAAACCCACAACCTTGGCGTGTGGAGATGGTGCTCCGACCACCTGGCGCCCCAGCCAGGGCCTGTTTACGTTTAGAAAGACATAACAAACAGCCCAACCACTGAGTCCCTGTCTTCGAATTGTGCAAATTCAATTCCTTCTTTGAAAATCATTGGCTTAAAAGTCTCTGTGGGCATCCTTGGCCAGGAGCTGGGTGAGAGTTCTTGAAATTTTGCCTTAGTGGCCGGGACATGGCTTATTGGTCATAAATCTAAAGGATCTTTTGGAGGCGCCGGGCCTGGGCGAAGAAGGAAGTGAGCTTCCTCTGCGTCTCTAGGCTTTGAGTGGGTGAGGACCTGGGGCCAAAGCCCCCCCCCCCCGACTCCTTTTCATCCCGCAGGCCTGGCACCGTGACTGGAAACCAGAGGAAAAGCTAACCGTTCCCGAGTCCTGAACCCTGTACCTGCCATGTCTCATTTCATTCTTAAAGTTATGAAATAGATACTGTTGTTATTCCTGTTTCCCGGATGAAAGAACAGGCTCGTGGAAATGAAGCAACAAGAATTTAAACGCAGGCACAGAGCCTGGGTCCAGCGTTTGGGTGTTAAACCCTTCTCCTCCCCGCCAGGGCTCCCCATGAGGTGCCCCGCAGAGCCAAGGGCAGTCACTGGGGTTAGGAGGGTGAGCCTGGTGCAGGCAAACCTGGCCTTGGGCCCACTTCTATCGGCCACCATCTGTGCCACCACAGACAATTTGCCAAATTGCCCTGAGTTTATCTGTGAAGTGGGCATGATAATACTCTCCTTGCAGGATTGTTAGAATTAAGTGAGAATGAACACACATACACACACACACACACACACACATTGAACAATGCCCAGAGTGTAAGAAAGATTCAACAAATATTTGCTTTTTGTAATAGTAATAATAATGATCAGTATACAGGGTGAGGCAAAAGCAGGCTTACCGTTGGGAGCACACAAAACAGCTTATTCTTGTACTGCTGCTGAT